TCCATCCATCCATCCATCCATCCATCCATTATCCATCCATCCATCCATCCATCCATCCATCCATCCATCCATCCATCCATCCATGCAACCATCCATCAATCCATCCATCCATGCATCTATCTGTGCATCTATCCATCAATCCATCCATCCATCCATCCATCCATCCATCCATCCATCCATCCATCCATCCATCCATGCAACCATCCATCCATCCATCCATCCATCCATCCATCCATCCATCCATCCATCCATCCATCCATGCAACCATCCATCCATGCATCTATCTGTACATCCATCTGTGCATCCATCCATCTATCCATCCATCCATCCATCCATCCATCCATCCATCCATCCATCCATCCATCCATCCATCCATCCATCCATGCAACCATCCATCCATGCATCTATCTGTGCATCCATCTGTGCATCCATCCATCTATCCATCCATCCATCCATCCATCCATCCATCCATCCATCCATCCATCCATCCATCCATCCATCCATCCAGTTTTGGGTGCCTTGCAGGCCTGGTGCTGGGGCCACATAGCTACCTGCTATTCTACTACTGTGTGCAGCAGGCAGTACAGCAGAGTCCAGCACATTTGAAGGGATGCTGGTGTGGACTGGGATGGGGGTTTGGTGGGTGAGTAGATTTCCTGAGGGAGTGCTGGGGAGCCCTGTATTTTAGATTCATTCATGCTTCTTTAGCAATCTTCCTTTACGTAGCTCTCAGCTTCTAGTCTCTATCCTTTCTTTTCTCTGAGAAGAACTTTAAATATCTCCTGCTAGTCAGGTTTACTAGGGAGGATTTCCTTCTGCTTTTGAATGTGAGGAAGTCTGTATTTTCCGCGTTAGAGGGCTGAGTGTGCAGGCTACTGAATATTGTTAGTGTGTTCATCCTTTTGGCACTTGACTGTTTCACCCCACTCTTGCTTGCATGGTTTCTGCATGGAGTTCTCATCCTTGCTCTTTGTAGACAGGAGCGTTTTCTTTACTCTGTCTTTTTTCACTGCCTTCTTGATTTTTTTTTTTTTTCGAGGCACGGTTTCTCTGTAGCTTTGGAGCCTGTCCTGAAACTTGTTGTGTAGACCAGGCTGGCCTTGAACTCACAGAGATCCACCTGGCTCTGCCTCCCAAGTGCTGGGATTAAAGGCGTGTGCCACTGTCGCCCGGCATTTTCACTGCCTCCTTTAAAGATTTTTGTATTCGATGTTTAAAGTGCCGAGTTTCATAAGGACATTTCCACACGAGTTATATTTTGAACACATTATCCCATCTCCCTTTTCTCTCCCCTCTTCACTTCCATGAATCCCCTTCATTCTTTTAGACAACTTTACTTCTATTTTTATGTCAAATACACATGCAAGACTTCATGTATCTATATAAAATCTAGAATTCAGCAAATATGCAGTTTGTCTTTTTGAGACAGAATTAATCTGCTTAATATGGTAATAGCCAGTTGCAACCATTTTCTTGCAAGTGACATAATTACGTTCTTTCTGCCTGAATAAACTTCCATTGTGCATATTTACCACATCCTCTGTATCCCTTCCTTTGCTGACAGGCCCCCTGCATTGGTTCCTGTATGTTGGACTTTCTGTGTTTTGAATGTGACATAAATAGGCATGGACCCTTCTCCTCTCCCCCTCTTGGAGTTCTTTGAGTTCTCTGGATTATTGTTGGGTACCTGTCTTTTGGGAAGATCTTAACTGTTATCACTTCAAGTACTTCTGTGGCCTTTTTTCTGTGCCCTTGATCATCCCATTACACATCTGTTACAGACGTGTTCTATGACTGACACACAGTTCTTAGACATTCTGACCCCCTCATCTGCTTTTTTGTTTGTTTTCTGTTGCTACGTCTTGCTTTTTCTTGGTGATGGCTCCATGCATGCTGAGTATACAAAGTGCCACTGAGTTGCACACTTGGTCTATAGTGTTATCTGCTCTTCAGGGTGTGTGTGTGTGTGTGTGTGTGTGTGTGTGTGTGTGTGTGTAGGATCTTCCTGTCTCCACTTCCCCTGCACTAGGAATACAAGCCACCGCATCTAGTTTTCTATATAGGTACTGGGGATTCAGCTCAGTTCCTAATGATTACAGAGCCAGCACTTCCCAGCAGAGCCCCCTTCCCAGCAGCCCCCGTTTATTTCTCGAGACTCATGGATACTTTGCTTAGCATCATCCAATCTACCGACGACCCTTCAAAGACATTCCTCACTCCTGCGTTATATTTTCTTTCTGCCTTTCCTTTAGAATTTTCCGTAGTGTTTCCATCTCTCTGTTTATATTACCCATCTGTTCCCACATGCCCATGTGCTCCTGTAGAGCCCTTGGTGTATTTATGGAAGTTGTTTTAAATTCCTGGTCTGATTATTTGTACACACCTGCCTCACACGAGTCTGCTTCTGATAGCTGCTGTGTTCCTCCAGAATCTACCTTTTGGCTTTTACTAATTGCAGGTCTCGAAGTTGTTTAATGAAAGGCAGACGTGATGCATCAGGCGAAGGGACTGAGGAAAACAGGCTCTTACTGCCAGGCTCTCTGCTTAGCTGGCCAGGGCTTAGGCTCTGTGTGTTGTTGCCTCTTCTGTGGGTTTCCCTGAGGGCTGCAATCTTTCAGCCGCCATTGCTGCTGCCATGTAGGAGCCTACTGTGATGTGTGTGTGGAAGGGAAGCCTGGGCAGCCTTGTGATGAGGCCCCAAGGTTTACTGAGCCCGTGCCCCGGGCTGTGACTTTCCCAAGGGCTTCTTGGCCCTTCCCATGTCATTGGTCTAAAGATTGAAAGTCTAGAGGGATGTGTGTGGAGTTGAATATTCCTCTTCTCTTCAGCTGGCCCGATTCTAGAGAAACAGATTGGCCTGAAGGTAGGCTTCCTTGAAGGAGAAGAGGATGTCGTGGGCCTAGCAACGTCTACCTCCCCCTCTCTTGGAAGGATAAAGAAGTTTGGCTTTGTTCTTTACGGGGAAGACCCGGGGACAGTGCAGATGGAAATCTTCCCATCTGTGATGTTCTCTGTGGTGGGGCCCCTCAGACTTTCTGCGGTCAGGCTCGTTACCACTCAGCTTCCAGACAGCCATCTGCCACAGGTGAGGTTTTCCTGCTTCAGCTCTGGTCCCAAGGAACTTTGACCTCTACGTTCAAGGATGTCCCTTCAACCTGAAGGCTAGCAGTGAATCCAAGAAGATGTTTTTTTTTGTTGTTGTTGTTTCTTTTTCTTTTTCTCCTCCTCCTCTTCATCATCATCTTTCTTCTTCTTTTAATTTTTACTTTTGAGACAAGGTCTCATGTAGCCCAGCCTTGCATCATACTTGTAGCTGAGGATGTACTTGTACATACGATGTAGCTGAGGATGACCTTGGATTCCTGACCCTCTGGCCTATACCTCCCAAGTGTTAGGATTACAGGCCTGTGCCCTTGAACCTAGTTGTTGACTTTGCAAGACCTAGTTTATTTGCAAGACCAAGGAGCTTATGTTCCTTGGATAAAGCCATTATGGTGACAGGAAATGTTAGAACTCAGTGTAGTCTTTCCAGTCACTTTATAGGTGGGCCTACCAAGTGCCTGCCTTGATGAAATTTTCATTTTGACAGACGTCTTAGTCAATGTTCTATTGCTGTGAAGAGACACCATGACCATGACAACTCTTATAAAAGAAAATATTTAACTGGGGCTGACTTACAGTTTCAGAGGTTCAGTCCATTATCATCGTGGCATGAAGCATGGCAGCATGCAGGCAGACATGGTGCTGGAGAAGGAGCTGAGAGTTCTGTGTTCGGATCCATGGGCAGCAGGAAGAGAGAGTCACTGGACCTGGCTTGGACTTTTGAAACCTCAAAGCCCACCCCATGACAAACTGCTTCCAGCAAGGCTACACCTCCTAATCTTTTCAAATAGTGCCACTGTTGTATTATCTCAGTTGTTCTATTACCTGTAAGGTATAGATAGGGGTGATAGATCAAAGAAGAGGCAGAGCAGTTAGACCAGTTAGCTTTCTCTCCACACTTCCCCGACCAAAAGGGAACCTCAAAAGCCCACCAGTCTCCAAGTTCCTTCCTGTGCCTTTCTGCCCATATCCTGGGTCCTCTGCATTTTCTTTTTTTCCGAGTCAAACCACTTTATTCAGAAGCTTGGGGAAAGGGTGGAGAGGCCCACACTGTCTGCTGTCCTCCACTGGGCAGATCTTCGAGGTCTGCCCGTGGCTAAGAGCTCCTCCGTATTTTCTATGACTAATTCTTGTCAGCTGGTCACTGGTTCTGCCCCCGATTCAAGGTTAACTTTATTAACACAGTCTCAGGGTGTCACGGTGCAATCACAGATCTTGAAACACGCCACTTCCTAATCATTTAAATATCTGAGCCGATGGGGGTCATTCTTACTTAAACCACCACAGCGGGGAGATAAGAAACCACACAAACCACAATTTCTGTAACTGCTATAAAGTACTGCGTATCAATGAAAACCTGCCCTACTCAGAAAACAAAACATTCTCATTTTTAAATTGTCAGCCCCCCCCCATTTCCAGATGAGGAACAAGAAGCTCAGAGAGGTTGAGCCTCTTCTCTAATGTCACACAGCCATTGAATGGCTATATCAGTAGTTCCATTGAGGAGGCCAGAGCCAGTGAGCAGCAGCTCCCTGCAGAGCTGGGCTGGGGTGAGTGGTCATCTGGGTGGTGCCCTTTGACCAGTTAAATACTACGTAACCGTAACCGCCGGGCGGTGGTGGCTCACGCCTTTAATCCCAGCACTTGGGA